AGCTACTGATTTAATAGCTCTCCTAAGCACTTCTTTTTAGAGGATGGCTTCAAGTTGAACAAAGTGCAGACAGAGCTCTAATAAATCTATTCAATCAAGGGATATTTAATGATTTGAATGATTTATTGATTTGATTTGGGTACCTTCAGGACCCCCCTTGTGCTGCTGGCTCTTATGGGGAAGCCTTGAATTTTGCAGGCAAAGGAGACCCAGGAGAGCCTCAGGAAGTTTATCCCAGCCCAGGGATGGGACAGCAGGAGGAGGAGTGGGATTGGGAACCTCTGGATGGAGGCAGAGTTTTTAACACATCTCCTCTCATCAGAGGGTGATGCTATCACCCCTAAAAGCACCTTTTATGTGTTCACTATGTACAACAGCAGAGTTATTCTGCCTTTAAAGCCACTAAAATCCGTGGAAAAATTTGTAATGCCTTTAAAAAATGATACTGGGCCACTTCTCCTGTAATGATGTGAAAGAGAAACATGTGCTCCAAGTCTTGAAATAATCAGTGATTTGGAAATAACCTCAAACCTGCGCTGCTCTCCCACAGCTGAGCCCTGCTCAGGTTTTGCTCTGGCCGGTGGAGGTCGGTTGCTTTCTGCAATCTGCACAATTCCCATCATTCCTTCCTCATGCAAATATCCCAGTAATTCCCTGGTGGGTAAATCTGGGGCTGGTCACCTTTGTACTGAGCTGCAGGTGCTGCTTTAGTGCTGGGAAAAGTTGGGATGGTTTACAAATTTAGGTTTAGAAATTCCTGCTGGATGATTTATCTCTAAAGCATCTTCTTTTTAAATAGAATTTCATTCAACAGTCCCTCAGTTTGGGTTATTGGGAGCACTGATCCCACGACAGCGATGTGGTGGATTTATCAGTGGTTTATTACCACTGATGGCTTTTTGCTGCTGATTTGGTTTGTTTTTTGTTTTATGGGCTTTTTGCTGCTGATTTGGTTTGTTTTTTGTTTTATGGAAATATGGGCCAGTGAAAGAAGCCATTGAAATCTGTGACTTATTATAATATATAAAAGTATACTATTTATAAAATATGTACTATAAATATAAATATAAATATAAATATAAATATAAATATAAATATAAATATAAATATTATTAATAATAATAGTAATAGTAAGGATTATTGAATCACAGAATCCTAAACAGTTGGGATTGGAAGGCACCTTAAAGCCCATCCCATCCCACCCCTGCCAAGGGCAGGGACACCTTCCACTATCCCAGGTTGCTCCAAATCCTGTCCAGCCTGGCCTTAAACACCTGCAAAATAAAAAATTTGATATTTAATACTTAATACTACAATTATACTAAATAATTATTATAAATATACTATTATTATAAATAGTACATTAAGCATTATAGTCACATAAAAATACAATGTGGAGAATATATAATTAAAATAATTATCATTTGTCAGTAGCAGCTAGAGGCTGTTTGGTGTGAGATGTTTCTCTGGAGGTTGAAAATGTATTTCTGCGGGTTTTTAAGAAAATGGAATCTATCTAAAATTTGGTTGTGATTAAATTTTCATCTTTTGCCATGGATTATACATTTTTCCTTTCCTCTTCCATCTTACCGTGGCATAAAATTTCCAGGTGATCATACAACTTTAAAAATATTTTTGGATGACTGGAATGTTAAAATGCATTTCTATTACCCGAGATTCACTTTTCCTGCAGAAAGGTGACTGAAGTCTGCATCAGACAGAGATGGACTGCCCTGTCCTTCACATCCTAAAGAAGAGCTTAGTTTGGCATTTTTAAAAATATATATGTTTGGTTCAGTTCCTACAGAGCAGCCTGAGGGTGGTGCTCCCAGAGAGCTGAGTGTCCTTTCAGAAATAGTCACAGCTAATTTCTCGTGGGCTGTTCTTCCTGAAACAGCAGAGAAATGCAGCTGGAACAGCCTGGAGAAGGGACAGGACAGTGGCTGGGCAGGGGTTTTAATCATCACAAAATCCCAGAATGGTTTGGGTTGGAAAGGACCTTAAAGCTCACTCCATCCCACCCCAGCCATGGCAGGGACACCTTCCACTGTCCCAGGCTGCTCCAAGCCCTGTCCAGCCTGGCCTGGGACATTCCAGGGAATCCAGGGGCAGCCCCAGCTGCTCTGGGAAAGCTGTGCCAGGGCCTCCCCACCTTCACTCCCAAAATTCTTCCCAATATCCCAGCTAACCCAGCCCTCTGGCAGCTTAATGAGCTGCTTTTCCCCAAAGATGGGAAATTAAATGAGAATTTTTACCACTTTTCTGCTTGTGACATCTCTTCCAAGTTAAGCCTGGCCTACTTTTACACACCTGCATTTGCAGAATGGCCACTGCATTAAAACTCCAAATAAAAGGTGATTACAACATTTGTCCTGCACAGAAAATCCTTTGTCTTGAAGTGTTTTGTGTAGGGAGGCAAAGGAAAGAAATCCAGAAACAGGGCATGGAACAAACACCCCAAAATGATAAGAACCCCCCAAATGTTCTTACAAATTATCTGCTTTTAGGGGTTTTTTGGGGTTAAATTGTCTGCTTTTAGGGGTTTTTCAGGGTTAAATTATCTGGTTTTAGGGGGTTTTCAGGGTTATTTTAACTTAGAGCAGCCATAAATGCACAACCACAGCAGAAGTACAAGATGAGGAACATTCCTGTTCCTGCTGTGCCTTTTTCTTCCAACATCTGGATGAGCACAGGGATTCCTCTGGATGTACTATTATTACTATTAATATATATTTGTTGTTATTATTATTATAGAAAAAAATTAGAGAGTTTTACTATTTAATTTTAATAATTAATAGTAATAAAACATAACAAATAAAATAAAAATATTTGTGTTCTATTTCATCACGGAGCATCTTTTGAATGTCAAATTTTGCCAAGCCTTGGAAATGAATAGTACAATGAAAAAGAGGGGAAAAAAAACCCCCAATAATAATAATAAAATAATAAAAAAAAATAATAAAAAGTAGCAACTTTACTAAAGGGATTGGAAATGTCAGAGGGATGCTGGAGCTGCTCCATGTGCTGTCCCTGTTCCCTGCCTGCTGCTCCTTATTGGCACGTGTGCCTCGATTGTTCAAACCCCACAATGTCTGTGCCTGGATGGAATATTTTTGTTATTGCAGAAAACCTACGTTTGACCTTTCTTTGTAATTGTGACACCAGTTGAATTCAGCTTTGGTTCATGGCAATTTACTCCATCCTTTGAGAGTTCACTAGTTAATTATTGCCAAGTGAATTTTTAATTTGCTCCGATGATTACATTGGTGAATGCAGTCATTAGCGGGAAATTTATTTTAGGAATTGGCACTAGAGGGAGCTAAGTAATTGTATCATTTATGGATCTGGGAAGGGGAGAAAAAGAACATTCATTAAAAACTTGCCTTTTTTTTTTCTGAACCTGCTGATTTTACAAATATGGCAGCTATGCCTCAGCAAATTAGAAGTGATAATGAATTAGTTAATTTTCCTCACTGAAAACTGCTATGCTCAGATTATTAAGTTACTGTATTTCTGTTTCACCAGCCAGTAAATTAGGATTTCTAAGACTCTTTTGGGAGGGTGAATTTTTGTAACTATTATCCCTGTTTATCATTATTTTGGTCTTAACAGAATTAAAATGCTCATGGATACCATCCTGGAGCATCAGCGTGTTCCCAGATGCACTCCAGGATGGATGGCACTCCGTGAGAGGAGAGGAGCCTGGAACTCTTCTGGGCTGAGACAAAGCTGGGCCTGGACACAAAGTGCTGCCTTTTCCAGCCCAGTGTCCACTGAAATCAGTGGAATCCCATTTTAATTCAGTGGCAGATCACTCAGAATTTTTGTCTTTAATGCTCACCTTTGTTTTAGTGGAGCAGCTGGGGCAGGTCCAGAGGAGGCCCCAGAGCTGCTCCAGGGCTGGAACCCCTCTGGAGCCAGGCTGGGAGAGCTGGGAATGTTCCCCTGGAGAAGGGAAGGATCAGGGAGAGCTGGGAATTTCCCTGGAGAAGGGAAGGATCCAGGGAGAGCTGGGAATGTTCCCCTGGAGAAGGGAAGGATGCAGGGAGAGCTCCGAGCCCCTTGCAGGGCCTGGAGGGGCTCCAGGAGAGCTGGAGAGGGACTGGGGACAAGGGATGGAGGGACAGGAGCCAGGGAATGGCTCCCAGTGCCAGAGGGCAGGGATGGATGGGATATTGGGAATTGGGAATTCCTGGCTGGGAGGTGGAGAGGGGCTGGGCTGGAATTCCCAGAGCAGCTGTGGCTGTCCCTGGATCCCTGGAAATGTCCCAGGCCAGGCTGGATGGGGCTTGGAGCAGCCTGGGATGGTGAGAGGTGTCCCTGCCATGGCAGGGGTGGGATGGGATGGGCTTTGAGATCCCTTCCAAATGAATTCCATGAGGAATGAGGACCAATGAGGACCATTCCATGATCTCCAAAGCTGCCAGACCAGCCCCATGCTGGGTCCCATCTGGAATATCCACACCTGTATCCCAGAGCCTGCAGCTGGGGTTCAGAAGATCCCAGTGTTATCCCTAAACTGCCACGCTGCTGCTGCTCCCCTGCTCTGTCCAGCTGAGGAAATGGGGACATTTTGGTGTGATATAAACTGTGGGCAAGAAAATTCCAAATCCAAGAGCTGATGCTTCCTTTCTTTACAAAAATGTCACCCCTCAAGGCAGCGTGCCCAGTAAACAGGGAGTCATGCAGACAGATAATCAAAATAAATGAAAATCCGCAATTCAGCTGGCCTGGGCTCTTTGATAAGGGTGAGAACCCATGACTTTTTCATGAAATATCACTTACAAAGATTCCTGAAACCTGGTGGTTTTCTGAGCCCTCATCTGTTTATGTAATTTTCCCCCAATTTCATCCTTTTTTCAGGCCATGGGAAGGCACCACCACTCCCCTGCCCCCACCTGGGAGCTGCATGGGTTTCACCTGCTGAGCTCACCGGGGAGGAATTACTTCATTAAGTCCCATTTCCCAGAGGTTTTTTTTCCCAGGATTCAGGTGTGGGATTGCTCTGCTGTTGCTGTTGGATCTGTGCTCCTTGATGTGCTCACAGAGGTCAGTGCAGGGGCATAAATGAGGATAATATTGGGGATTTTGTGTTTATTTTTATGCTTTGTATTTTTTTTTTCCTGGAATTTTAATGGTGCTCCCCACCTGCAGTGCTGAACAGTTGTGGGTGTTTGCTACTCCTTTTTCACTCCTGAGTTCTGGATATTTTTACTTTGAATAACCTTGCTAAATTCTTTATTTCTGTGTTGTATTCCTTTCCACTGTAATTCTCTGAAGTTCCTCAATGAAAAATCACTGAGCCTTGCAATTCAGTTTCCTGTGAAATCCTATGGACAGCAAACACCACATTTCATGCTTTTGATACTAAACCTATTGTTCAATGGTTTAAATTGATACAAGGAGAAGTATTGTTAATCCAGGGCAAGTTTTAATTTTTCCTTTTGTGTCATATACGTGTGTGAGCAGTGGGGAAAATGATTTGGGGTTCTGGTGGGGTGGGTGTGTTCCCCCAGTGACTTTATCCATCCTCACCCCTGACAAGAAACCTCTGGAGGGGGAACTCTGGAAGGGATTTTGGGAACTCTGGATGAGATTTTGCAGTATTTACTTTCCTGTACCATAGCTGGGGCTCAAAACCAACACAAAGTCATTACAGTCTTAGTTAAATGGTTTGAGTTAGGAAACATCCAGCTACTTCTGCCTTTTCAAACCAGTGACAAAAGGTTGGGGATTTAGAGCAGAGTAAAACCCCTCTCAGGAAGGGCAGAGCTCAGAGCATCTCTTCTGTTTCCAAAAGAGTTTATTCTTTAATTCCATTGATTCATCTTTATTCTGCACCAAAAATCTGTGCTCTGAGGGTCAGAGGTAATTACCTATTACAGGTAATGGGCTTTTTGCAGGTGTCTGGGAAAACTTTGTAGCTCTGTGTCTGCTTCATGCATTTCTTTACAATTTTCATTTGGAAGTGAATCTTGTAGCATCTTTTCCTTTGCTTAGTTTTTCTATAAGAATATCTCTGATAGACATTAAATCCCTGGAAGTATTCAAAGTTGGGTTGGACAGGGTTTTGGAGCAACCTGGGACAGTGGAAAGTGTCCCTGCCCATAGAAAGAGGGCAGAACAAGAAGGATTTTAAGGTCCCTTCAACCCAAACCATTCTGTTGATATGCAGTGCTAGAAAAAAAAAATGTTCTTCCTCTGATTTTATTAATCAGGAGCACAGGGAAGGGTTGTGAAAACTTTTACAGTCTTTATGTGGACTATAAACTGGCATCAGGAGCATGGAGATTCCTCTGGGATGTGATCCAGCCTCGTGGTCTCTCAAAAATCAGATGGTCTCAGCCCTGATGGAGGGTTTGGAAGATTTTAGGTTTTTGGAATCAAGGGGCTAAAAATACAGCATTTCTTTCACAAGAGATATTGGTTTTATATCAAATGTACCAGGACAGGGAAAGAAAATATATTTTTACTGCCCAGGCTGATCATTGATGCCATGTTAGAACCCTCTGGTCAGAGTTTTGCTGCTGTCCCCAAAAAGGACAGATTTTTTTATTGCTCTAAGGCCTGGGAACACAGAGCCTGATGTTCCTGTCCATAAGGAATTCACCTGGGAGGAACATCCCTTAATTTGCAATTTCTTATCTCATTTTTTTTTTTGCTTCAAATCCTCCCTTGAAGCAGAGCTTTTCCCACTTTCCTGGAGTGGTTGGGGAACTTAGTAAAGGTTCTTTTTCCTTTCCATCTTCCTTTCAGGACAGGCTGAGGTTCTGGGGCAGGAGATGGCAGCAGAAGGAAAATTTGCTCCCAGCAGAAATACCTGGCTTTTCTAAACTGCAAAAATCCAACAAACTCAAAAAAACCTCCAAAATCCTTGCTCAAATTTGTAAAATTATTTCAGCAGACTTAATGAAAGTCCTTACAAAGACAGTCAATCACTTGAACATCTAAAATATCCTTTCGTTTTTTCAAAGCCTTGGTGATTCTTAAAGAAAAAAAAAAAACCAAGACCAAAGTAAAAGCTTTTTTAGCTCAAATGTAATTTTAATAAATATTTTTGCTGGTTCCTCTCTTTCCTTCCCGTCCCATGTATTTATTTTCACCTAGAGTCAGATCAACAGGAGATTTAGACTTTCTAAGGCAGTTGTTCAACAGCTTTTTCTGATCCAAATCTCTGTGTGTGCCCCTTTAGTAGTTATTTATCAGGCCAGTGTGTGTTGTTCCAGAAACAAACCCAAATTATAACAAATTAAACTCTTCTACACTGAATTTGGAAATTCTAATCCCCAAATTTATTTTTTGACTAGACACTGCAGCTTTGGTAGACCTTTTGACTTCCCTGGGGAGACAAACATAGGTTTTTACATCCTGAAACGAGAAATATTCAGCACATTTGGGGTGCTTTGTTATTCCAGTGGCTGTTCTGCCACAGTGGAAGTTGGAAAAATCCCAGTGAGGTTTTACCTTTGTCTCTCCAGAGCTCTCCTTGGTTTGGCTTCATGATCCTCGTGCTTTGTGGGACGATCTCCTGCTCTTTGTTATTTTGTGTTTGGAGAGCTGATGCTCTGTGCAGTTCTTTAATATGCACAGTTCTCCTGGACAAGCTCATCTAGCAAAAACACCCTCCTAAAGTGAATTTCCCAGGTGTGCTCCTCTTGGGAAAATTGGCATCAATTTTGCTTTCTGGAGCTGATCAACAAATCCCAGACTTTAGGGAGAAAATTTGTAAAATTATTTCATCAGACTTAATGAAAGTTCTTACAAAGACAATTAATCACTTGAACATCTAAAAAATCTTTTCACTTTTTCAAAGATTCTGTGATTCTTAAAGAAAAAGACCTGGGAGATTTGGAAATTTGGGAAACCTCTGCCTTTTCCCTGAGATTTGAGATGCCCATCTGTGCACTTGTGGCAAAAAAGTAAAAGCCAGACACAAAAACTCTGCATTTTCTTTGTTTTTAATCCCCTGTGATCATCTGCAGTGGCCCAAAAAATAAATGTATGATGGCCAAGGCAGAGCTCTGGGCATGAGCTTGGCCACTGAGGGCCACAGCTGTAAAAACTCTGGTGGTGTTGGAAAGCACTGGTGACACTTGCAGTATTGCTTTGACCAGTTTGTGAGAGTTTTATGGGATATTTTCCAGGGTAACAATGTTCTTTATAATAAACTCTTGTTTCACTTTAACTCCTTTAAGCCATTTTCTAAAATGTAGTGATTTACTGCACCTCTTCATGCCTCCAAAATCTACCTGCCTTGTTAGGCTGTGGTTTTTTAGATGTGAAAATTATTCTACAAGGAAAAATTAAAAAAAAAACACCAAAAAAACCCCAAAATAGGAAAAAAACCAAAAACCCCAAATAATCAGAGGTGACCCATTTATTTATACAACACTCAAGTATTTCTAATTCTCTCTTTTAAAGATGGAATCTTTCCTATTGTTTAACAGGCTTGGGGTGTTCCTGGGCATCCTTTAATTCCTGTTCCCTTCTGGCTTGCCAAATTAACAAATGTTAAAGAAATTCTCCAGGTAGAAATGGACCCCTTGAGCCAGTCTGATCCAGTTTTCCATGTATTTTTCTATGAATTTTTAGACAAATGCAGATATTTTCCTCAGTCTATGCAGTTGCAGAAGAGTTGCACTGGTGTTTTACTGGGTTGCACTCCATCATCCTGAGGGGTCCCTTCCAACTCAGCATTTTCTGTGATTTATTTCTCATTTTTTCCTTCACCCAAAAGGTGCAGTTTTTTTTTTCCTCTGAGGAAATAATTTTGGTAAATCATTGTTGGCCTCTCCTGCAAGAATTCTGATGGTTGGTGCCACACTGATTTTTAATTAATTTTTATTTTTTAACCCACATTTGATTTTTAATTTTAATTTTTAAAAAAAAAAAATTGTGTGATCACTCCCTTTGGATGTAGCTGGGTGCCAGCAGCACAGCCACTGCTGGAACAGTGATGGGAATGTCCAGGGATCAGATATGAGACTTGGCAGTTTTCTCTATCAATTACTTCTTTTATTGACAGTTTTTCTTCATCCATTTGTCTCCAAAAAATAAATGTCTGTGTTTAACACATATAAAAATGTGATGTCTCTCCATAGTCAAAAGCTGAAAAATATTTTCAGTCTCAGAGAAGCCTGAGCTGTTGAATAGTTCACTAAAACCTGAAGCAAGCTGAATATAATACAGAGTTTGCTGTGGTCCAGCTGATGGAAGGAATTAATTACTTTCCATGCTGATTTCCATTTCTCATGGAAATACCTTGATTTTTTGCTGTGTTTGGTGCAGTGAAAGGGAGGCAGCACCCGAATTTCAGAGAGATTTATTGTTATATGAGTGAATTTCCAGCTAACTCAGCTGTCTTGAAAGTTCCCACCTTCAGCAAAACTGCACCAGACTTGGCTTTTGGATGTTCTTTCTGTTCTTTTTAAGGCAAAAAAATCACTTTGGTCCACTCAGCTGTTTCTTCAGCATGATGAAAAAACACAGGCACTGAGTTAATATGATGTAATTATGGAAATTTTTTAATGGTTTATGTTGTATTTTTTTTTATTTCCTTAATTCAAGTAGGACATTCATCTGAAGTTTAGAGTTTTAGTTTTATTCAGAACCAATAGAGAGGGAGGGTTGTACATGGAATAAAAGTATTTTGTGAGTTTCTCAGCAGATTTTAATAAGGGCAGTTTCAATACCCTCAAAATATTAGCATGAGAGAAGGAAGACCTTGAAATAAGAGAAAATATTTCTGAAATATTTTTAATTCATTATGCCTTTATTATTCACAGTTTTGTTTTTCAGAAATTGTACCTTGATCACAAATGCTTTGATATTAACAAGGGGAAGGCATTCAACTTAAATACTTTCTTAATCAAGATTTTTTTTTTTGTGTGTGTGCTTATTGTGTGCCCCTCTTAGTGTAACTTTCTTAACTGATGTGAAGTATTTGAATTTTTCTGCAAAAAACCTGTTGCCATCAGTGAATAACAGCTGGATTTATTATTATTATTATTATTATTATTATTATTATTATTATTATTATTATTATTATTATTATTATTATTTATTCCTGTCTGCTGTCCAAGGGGGTTGTGCCTCCTTCTGCCTGTCTGGTTTTCAGCACTCTGCAAAATGTGAGTTTTCAGCTGGGCTTGGCAATACCCTCTCCACTTTTGAGGGGAGATCCATACCCCATCACTCTACAGAAATGAGGAATATTTGCATGTCCTTCTGGATTTTGTGCTGTGGACTTTTGTCCAGGGGGTTAAACCCCAGCAGGTCTGGAATCAGTTTAATGCTCTTTAGTGCTGTTGGTGCCTGAGGCTGGATCTGCATCTTTGGAATTTTTGTGTTGGGTTTTCCTGATCTTCAGGTCAGAGCTGTTCAGACAAAATGTCCCAATTTCTGCTGTTTCTCTGGGGGCTTCCTGTTAGAGGAGTTCATTAATGAAAGCAAAAATTCCTCGTTCTGTTGAATTCATCTTGGGAAAATCCTGCTTGGTCTGTGGAGACCCAACTCCCCATCTCAGACTGTGTCAATAACAGCTCCAGTGCAGCCAGGCTGGTCTCACCCATTTAATCAGGGAGCTGGGTTTATTAATAATAATAAAAACAAATAATTGCTTTTATTATTATTAATTTCAGTGTATTCAAAATCCATGGCTGCCACAGAATGGCTTGGGTTGGAAGGGAGTCCAAAATCCATCTGTTCCCAACCCCTCGTGGAGCTGGAACCCCAGCCATGAGTGTAGGGTGATGGAAATCCAGGAATTCCCTTCCTTGTGTTCTCCCAGAGAAGAGGTTGAAGATGTTCCCAGCAGGATTCCCTGTTGGAAAAGCCACAGTCATTAAGTCATTAGGGAATCCACTTTTTTTTTATTTTTTTATTTTTTTATTTTTGGAAAATGGTAGAATAACAATCTCACCACGTTATCAACATCACCTTCAAGCAGTCAGTAAATGGTAATTTATCTTCAGGGTTCAGGGAGTGCTGCATTATTAAAGATGTGCATGTTCTCATCAGCCCCATTGTCTAACAGCTAATTACTGCTGGGATTAACTCCATTTCACGTCAGGGTTTGTACGTCAAATAAGTCTGGAATTTGAGCACGAGGTAGTTGCTGGATAAATCTCAATTTCAAATAAAAGAGTCACAGTGGCTGGAGGAAACTCTGCATGGCAAAACTCCCTCACCACACTTCTCAGTCAAAAGCAGAGTAGGGGGTTTTTTGTCCTTTTTTTTTTTTTTTTTCCTTTCTGTCTTTCCCCAAAGAAAATTGGGAAAAAAATATAAAAAAAAAAATCTCTTTTTAAGCTCCTTCCAGTTGATGCTCCATGTTGTGACACGTCATGTAAAACTGCATCTGTTATGCTGAAACCAGAACATAAGAGAGACACTCTTGACATGAGGAATCACAACACGAGGGAACAGCAGGAACGCTGAAAGCGCAGCGCGGTTCCTTCCTCCGCGAGCCCAGCCCTGGGAGAGACGAGGTGTTTATTAACAGAGCTTCCACTCCATCCACATTTCCTCCCTGATGACTTCTCCCCTCCCTCCAGGCCCAACCCAGCCCTTTCCACAGGGGAAAAACTCATGGGAACTCAGACATGCTCCATCCAAGAGAAGTTTTCCCCCCAGTGGATACCCCAGGATCAGGCCTGGGAGGTTTTCCCGCCTGTGAAGTAGAAAATAGACTCAGATTAAGCGAGCAGACTTGTTATTTGACAGTTTATAAAATATTTTAGTATCTTTTTGGCAGTAGCAGTTTGAATGTTGGCAAATGTACACATTGCTTGCAGTTACAAAACCTTGTAATGAGTATTTCCCACTGTAATAGCAGTGAGCTGAAATTTGGATAAACCACTTAGACTTGTGAACTCTGACATGCCTGGTAACTATGTCTTTGCAAAAAGAATTTTGTCAAGTATTGGAGCTCCTACTAATAGCACATCCATCTTTCTGCACACTATAAATCTTAAGAAAATTTCTATTACTCTGCAATTTGTCTGGCTTATGCTATTTATTAGCCATTTTATTCTGCTGCTTTAAGAAGTAATGTGATGTTCATTTTATTGCTGGTTCAATAAATTGTTAATTATAATGCAGTGATTGCTGCTGACGTGATTTAAAAGCCACATTAGCACTATAGCATTAAGTTTTAACTATTTTACCCTTCAATTCCCTGTTTATACAACAGTAAAAGGAAAATAGCCTTAGACTAATTTAAAAAATGAAGGTGCTTGTATCTATTGATCACATGACATACTAGAAACTTTTGTTGTTTTTTGGTTGGTTTTTTTTTTTAAAAAGGTTACATTCAGGTCTAAAAAAGAAAATGCACCAGCTGAGCATGGTCTAACTGTTCAGCAAAAAAGTGTTCTTAAAGCAAGATTAACCCCAAAGTTAAATTAACAGAATTACTTAGTTAAATTAGGAGAATTAGCCTAATAGATTAAAGGAACAAAATACCTTATAAATCATAATCATTTTATAGTTATGTGTAGCTTTTGGTGCCCATTTTGTGTAACAATGGAGCAGAAGGGAGTCTGAGATTGGCAATTGGACCTATTTTCTCCAAGAATGTTGTAAATGGGATTGGGGGGAAAATCTCCATTTTGCTGATTTAAAGTAAAATCTAATTGCTGCAAGTGTAATGATCCATCCTTGGCTGAGCATGGAGAGAGAACTGACTCAGGTCCAGGAGCCATGCACTAATATTGGGCAGGATGGATGGAATGATGGAATTCTGAATTCTGGGACACCTGGTGCCTCTTGGAAATGTGCATCAGACATGGAGATTTTGGGTGAAAATATTTACTTTTCTTAGTTATAACGTGTGATTAATTGTTATTTTTTCTTAACTGAGAAAAATGCACTCATAGAAAAATAGGAGAAAACCAGAATGGCTATGGAAACTGCTACATAAATCTGTTATATTTGCATATACACACATATGTATTTCATATCCATAAAAATATGTATGGACAGATCTAAGTCTTCCTGAAATTGTGCACCACCACCAAAACTGATGTGCAGCTCTCAAAGACTGGAAGCTAGAGCTCATTAATTCAACCAAAACCTTTAAATACAGAGGAGAATGTAAATTTTAACTGTTCCCAAGTGCCCCTGCCATGGAGCCATCTGATTCCATAGGGAATATTCACCATCACCAGACTTTCAGGCTGCAGCATCTCTGGTTAAAGCATCTTCTGAGTCCTGGGCAGGTTTAATGTGTAATTAATAATATAAAGGATTAAAAGAAAAGATGGGAAGCTGTGGTTAGGAGAAGCTGCCTGGTTCAGGTTCCCTGCTCCACCCTTCCTCCAGATTTATTGGGAGATCTACTGCTACACAGGCCAAGAAATCACAACAAAAATGCTTTCCTTGCTGGTCAGAGGCTTGTTGAAATTAATCAAACACCTAAACCCTTTAGAGAATCCTAGGAGGGAGAAATCTTGCCTTTAATTTTCTGACTGAATTAAAAAATCTGCCTGGAAGAGACCTTCTACTCTTTAAGTCAGAAATAGTTATTAACTTGAAGACACCTTTTTCAAAAGTGGACTTAGAGTGGTTTTGTTGTAAGAACAGGGCATAAGCTATTTTCTTGGGGGAAGGATCATTTCCCAAAAAATAATAATTTCTGCCAGGGGAATGTGTTTAAAAAACCCACAACACCCAAATGAAGCCAAATGAAAAGGAAAAAAAAATTTTTAAAAAAATCAGCAGTTTATGCCACACTTGAATTTGGATTATAATATGATTTATTTTCATGATGATAACTTATTTTAATGACTCTTGACTTTTCCTATTCAGCCATCCCTCATTTTATTTGTGTTGAAGACACTGGCTGAGCTGCTTTCATAAAAGAATAGGTCCTGGCACTGGTCATGGTAAAAATTACAGATATTAATTTAGATAGAACTAATTTAGATGAAATTACAGAATTAAGAGAAAGTTTGGCAGCCAGCTGGCTCCAAGATTTCAGGCTTTGGGAGCAAAGATCTGAGCTAAAGTGACTGATAAAGCTTCTGGAGCTGCCATAATGTACTGAAAATCCTATTCTTGACTTAGTGCTACACGACATTCCAATAAAAGAAATTGGGACATAAAAAATTACTGTGGCCCCTATTAAACAGATTTAAAAGTGGTAAACTAATTGCAAAAAGTAATGGGGATGTTTTCAGCAACATCTCATGGAGATCCAGCCATGGCCTAACGCGTTTCCATGGAATGAGTAATGACCTGGAAAAAAGAACTTTTAACGCTTGCAGATCACACAGGGACTGGGGGAGTGATAAATAAGGAAAGGGAATGGCAATTTGTAGAAAATCCAGATTATTTTGGAAGAAGGGACTGGTTTTCAAGGAGAGCTTCAAGGGTGACTTTGTGCTCCACCAGGAAGCCCCGAGGAACTGGTGGGGAAGGGGACAGTGCTGCAAACCCGAGACAAAATCACTCTCTGACCTTTCTTCAGGAGCAAGAATTTACCCACCCTGGTTTTCCAGGGTGGTGAGAGGCTCTGGCCTGGGGCAGCAGGATTTGGATTGGGGATGCCCAGGGAATTTCTACAAACTCCAAGTTGGTCCAGGTGCTCAGTATCTCCTTGTGTGGCTGAGCATCCCAGGCACCCTGCCAGGCTGTTGGGGGAATTTTACATTCCGAGCTATTCTGTGTTAAAGCCTGGTTTAAAACCTGCGCTTTTGCAAAGGCTGTCTGGAATTTGTTGAAAAATCCAGATCAGTTCTACCTCTGCTAGAGTCAAACAGGAGATTCTGGGGCAGGAGGTTGTGCTTATGCCGCTTTCAGTGCAAATCCCAGCCTGGAATTAATCCCCACCCCAATTAATTTATATAAACTACATGAGGGAGTGGGTAAGTGGGAGGCAGCCCTGCTCTAAAGGAGGATTAGAACTAGATGGGCATTAAGGTCCCTTCCAACCCAAATTATTCTCTGGTTCTCTGCATTACTTATCCCTAAATAAAGAGAGGAGAAAATGATGAAACTCCAGGAATTCACAGCTCAGTCAGTGCAGAGAGCTGAGCAGCCTGTGAAGGGGACAGAAAGGAAATAGCTAAAAGGCAAACTCCAAAACAACTCCACAAGTTTAATGAAAGCATTCCAGTTAGGAAACTGTCAGGAGAACCAGGAGAGAGGGGCCGAGGTTGGTAAAGCCACCACGACCTGTGGCTGCTGCAGCTTTTGGAAAGAGTTCAAACCGTGACTTTGGAAACACCAATTTGCTGCCGGCTCTGAACGGGGCATAAAAAGTTATCCACAAAGCCATAAGAGGAGAAGAAACTCCTGATGAGCTGTGAAACCAGATGCTTTATGCTGGAGAAGCCTGCATGTTATGATTTTGTTTTAGGGAAATGCCGCAATGTGCTCGGTAATTTCCAATCGAGATGCGGGCACGGTTCGTACCCCAAGGAGTTTGTGCTGGGAGGGATGTCCCTGTTTGTGGGTGGGGGTACATTCCACAGAAATAGATTTATAATAAATAAGTCTGTTTTTCAAGCTGTAACAGCAGTTTAGTTTAGTAACATCATATTGGGTATTTTTTTCATGTTAACAGGCAGCCCCCATCTCCTAGAAAGGATTGAGTCCCTGCAGGTGCTCTTTGAGGGGTTTGGGTACCAAGAGGATTCTGATGGGAGCTGAGGGAAAAGGTGTTGGATGGTCACCCCAAATATCTGAAAAACACTCTGGGCTGGCCTAAAATCAGGTATATTTCTTCCTAGAAACATTCAGGATCTGGAGTATTTGTTATTATGAGAGGTTGAAGCAAAGCAGCACTAACAGTGAATGGTGAAATAGCCTCTGTACATAAGTATTTAATTAATTTTGCTCATGAGAATCATTTTGATCCTTAAAGATTTTGAGGAAGAAAAGAATGTTAAAAAATATGTTTGTTTTTTCTTTTATGGTTGAGGTATCATTACACCATAATTGAATTTATTTTGTGGGCTGTAGGAATTATTTACTAAATCACATATCTAAAATAATACAAGTATGGAGAACTAATTTAATGCTTACTTTATTGGTGATCTGATAGAATTGTGAAAACCTGAGGGTCAAATAAATCCTGAGTTTGGAAAAAAAAAGGTATTGAGTGTATTGAATTATCTGCACAGAGTAGAAAAAGTGAGGCACAGAAATAAGTTCTGATTAATAAGACAAAGGGAAATGGTGCAAAGCAGATGGCATCCCATTCTGCCTTATGGTTATGTATGATGTCATTACAAAACACTGGGATTTTTGTGGTAGGTGATTAGAGACCAAATTAGCAGCTCAACTTTTTCTAAACTTCAGCTTAATGGAGAGAATTTTACATCCCACTGGTAGTGGGCTCCATGAAGCAGCTCCTGAAGCAAAGGCTGCAATGGGGAGTAAGAAAAGGGATTAAAACCAAAACCTAAGGCATTTTTCTGATTTCTCCATCAGATTTTGATTTGGTTAATCAGTTCTAATAAAAATTCCAGTAGATTGGAGTGTTTGCAGTGGGAAGTTGGTTTGGGGAAGGCAGAAAGAAGATTATATGGGGCGTGTGTGTATAGAAATAACAGAGGAAATCTAAATATAATGTCCAGTATAGGAAAAACCCCACAATTTTTAAAAATTAATAATGGATGAGAAAGACTAGGAAGGAAACGATGCTCAGCACTGCCTGAAAAACAGAATTTGTTGGGAAAAAGGGAGAAATTCTCGAAGAAAGAAATGCTTTGGGAAGGAAGGTCTGATCTGAGGGAGCTCCATGAACTGAGGTGCCACCAATTCCCCCTGGTGCCGCCACTTTGGGTGCGCTGCAGGAGCACGGAACTCACACGGGCAAGAGGGACAAGGTTAAAGAAATGGTGATGGGAAGGTTTGAAGGCTCCAGGCCTATTTTTGATTTTGCTGCAGCAGGGATATTTGCTTTCCTTGCTGTACTGGAG